TCCTCCCTCCTTCCCTCCCTCCCTCCTTCCTTCCCTCCCTCCCTCCTTCCTCCCTTCCTTCTACCCATCCATCTTTCCACTCGGTAAACTTTCATGGAAGACCCATTCTGCCCCCAGCTCCTTGCTGGGTCACTGTGAGATAATCATTTGTTGATTTAGCAACACCGTGGTCTCTCGGTTTGAAGTGCCTGTATTGATTTTATCTCAGAGAAACGGCACTCCCCAGGACGGTTACACACACTTGGGGACGCTCGTTCCTACAGAGTGACGGTTACTAGAAGGTGGTAACGAGGGTACCGACGGCTCTCTGAGTGGCTGTGCTCTCTGCAACATCCCTCCCAGGACACACACCCGCCTTAACCAAAGGCCCCCCCTTGGGTGCTCTCCAGACACCACAGGGAATTGTTATCTTCACGGCCAAGCTGCTATCTGTCCAGCCCTGCCTCCCACTTCAATTTCCAACTTTCCTGAGCACCTACTGTGTGCTAGTCAACAAAGGGTGGGGAGAGGGGCCTGGCCAGCCTACTCAGGACCCCCTTCTCGAACGATGAGCAGGGAAGTCCTCGCACCTTTCGGATGACCCACCTGAGGCCTGGCGCTGCCTGGAGAGTTGCTCAGAGGGCCGAGGAGCTGGGGCTGCTGACGCAGACCACGCAGGCCACGCCAAGAGAAGCAGGAAGTACGGAAAGGATCTGAGCGGGCAATGGTTCAGGCCCTTGTTGGGGCAGGGGAGCCTGAGTCTGGGAAAAGGCTTTGTGAGCTCTGGCGGCGCCATGAAGGTCAGGCCTGGTAAAGAGGCTCCAGCCCACAGTGCCATTTGTGCTGATCTGTCTGCTGAGAATGTCTCTCCTTCTCTGGTCCACCTGGACCAAACCCTGCTGCAATGTCCTCTACTGAGAAGCCTTCCCTGGCCTCCCTGATGGGTGGTGCTTTCTCCCAAGGCAATGGAGCAAAGTGGTCCCAGAGCAGACACGCTAGGCTCGAGTCCCGCCTTGACCTTTCATTTCCTTTGTGACCTTGAGCAATTATCCCCTCTCCATCAGCCTCAGTTTCCTTTTCCGTAAATTTTCTTGTTGCCTCAGGAGGCGCAGGGGTTGGGGGGGCAGTCGCGAGACCGAAATGGTCGTGCGCACCGAGTGCGGAGCCCCGCGTTGGGCAAGTGCTCCCTCAGTGGGGCTTGCTCTTGCCCCTCGACACGTCAGTCCTCCAGGCTGGGAGAGCCCTGGGCTGGACAGACTGTGCCAAGGTCACCTGGCAGAGGCAGCAGATGGCGACCTTCCCTGCTTAGCTGCATCTGAATTGCATATCTCAAGATTAGGGGAGAAAATCACCTTCAGAAGCACGTCTTTTCTTGTTCTTAAACAGAGGAACAATTCTCGTCTGGACCTTTGGCCCTCCCTGTCTCTATCCTAGAGGGCGCCACGTTGCAGAAATCACCATCTGGAGAGCTTGTCCTTAGAAACAAGGTCCATGGACCCAGGGCACTGTAAACTTCCCTTATTCCCTCATCCCCCAAAGAAGTGCCCCTCCCAGCTGTCCTCCAAAGCAGGACCAACAGATGACCTCTCCAAGACAGGAGCCACAGAGAAGCCCCCGTTCCCTGGGCTCATGGTCTCCCAGTGTCCGACCCCTCCGACTACATGTCCTCACACTCTCTTCCAACCCTGACCTCCTGGGGGTCTTCGCATATGCTGTTGCCTGCAAGGTGCCAGGCACACCACCAGGGGGTTTATATACACTATCTCACTTCATCTGTCAGCTAAGCTGCACGGCAGAGCCATCTCCTACTTTACAGAGGAGGAGGTCGGCTCTCGGGGACACGAGGTGATTTGTCCAAGGTCACACAGGGACAGGGTGGTAGAGTAGGCTTGTAAGCCTGGCTCGGCCTCCCGCTGTGCCCTGTTGTCTCCTTAGTCCCACTGCCTGCTGGACTCACAGCTTCCTGGAGTGTCATTCGAGCTATCCACTTGGTTCCAAAGATATCCCAGCTCCCTTTGGGCACCCCTCCCCCTAAACCAGTGGCCAAACTTGAGAGCACATCAGAATCTCCTGGAGAAAGCAGCAGTGGTTCACTCACTGGTAGAGTTCTCCCCCTTCCATGCAGGGGATCCCAGTTTGATTCTTGCTCAATGTACCTCATGCACAGCCACCACCCATCCGTCAATGGAAGCCGTGATGCTGACATGCTTCAGCGGAGCTTCCGGACTAAGATGGATGAGGAAGAAAGGCCTGGGGATCTACTTCTGAAAATCAGCCAGTGAAAACCCCCTGGATCACAAAGGTCCCATCTGAAACTGACCATGAGGATGATACGGGACCGAGCAGCGTTTCACCCCACTGTGCATGGGGTCACCATGAGTTGGGGGCCGACTCCACGGCAGCTGCCAATGACAACAACAAGCCCCACCCTAGAGCGGCTGATCCAGGGACCACACTTGGAGAACCCTGCCCTAAGCAATTCTCACTCATCCTTTAAGGACCAGCTCACAATTCACCTCCTGTCTCTCACTTACCAACTCTCTCAGAAACACTGCTCCTGGACAGAGGTCGGCACTTGAAGTGCGCCCCAATGAGTTTTTAATAGGTGTCAGCTTTGTCTTCAAATCTCCCCTTATTAGGGGAAGGAAATTGGAATTAGGTGTTGTGTGATTCCTTTCCAAGGCTCGCTGGACTCCAAGAGAGTGCTCACCGAGTGGCTCATTGACTGATTGATTGGGGGGCTGGTAATTACTTCACTATAAATCAAGGAGCACCTGACTGAATCAGTTCCTGCCCATTAAAGGAAGAAATGGCTCAAAAACAGGACCCATAAGTGCATTTGTAAAGAAAACTGACACGGGTGTTTTCCTCTGAACCACATACAAACATGTCTTCCCTGGGTGTTCACGAGCTCACCAAGCTGAAAGGGCTCAGTGTTTATTCGCAAAGGTTTTATTTACAGAGACGATACCTCCCCCAAGAAAACAGCTGGTTTAGTCAGAAAGCAACAGGCCTTCCCATTGCTTAGTGTTCAGCTGGCGTTCTGACGAAAATCTTACCCTGGTCCTGCTCTGAGGGGAGATTGCCTATTTCAAATCCAGAGTGTTGTAGAGCTGCTAGGGACCTGGGTGATTCTAGATGACTCCTCACAATTCACAGATGGGAAAACCGAGGCCCAGAGAGGTAAAGTACTTGCCCACGGTCACCCAGCGAGTCCGTGGCAAGTCAGAGCTAAGGGTCAGGTCTCTGACATTAAGTGTATAGATTTCTAGTATGTTAAGAAGCTTCCTTAAACACCATCGCGGCTCACAGGCCAAGGGCTGCCTGGCAAATGTAGGATCCATCTAATAACTGACAAATTGTGCTGCGAGGCAAGAAGTAGAAAAGTAATTAAGGGAACCCAGAACTGGGATTTGTATAGACGTCTGCAGACACCTCTAAGAAACTCCGAAGAAACCGAGAAAGAGCTTTATAAGTGATAATTTAGTAATATGACTCGGTAGAACTTAATAAAGCCTTGGACTACCCCAGTACTTAGGTATGGGGAGTGGAATTAACAAATTATATTCATGATACAGGCCTTAACTACTTTTATGGATTACTTTTGAAGTCAAACATCTTAAAATGCAGATGAAAAGTCAATTTTAAGTTATTTGCACTGTGGCCTTGACACAAGAGGAAATAAAAGGATTTAGAAAATTCAGATTTTTGTTCTATTTTAGACATCAAGGGCCATTTAGATGCGGAATTTCTGATAAGATAGGTGTTCTTATGTTTACAGTTCTTGGCTGCTTCTGAAGCATTTCATCAGGTGGAAAGGGTAGGAGGAGAAAAGCTATGACTACAGGTTAAAGTACAGCCCTTCCTCATTTCCAAACAAGCTTCCCTTTTCAAAGTGGCTAAGGGATTTAAAACTAAAATTTGGTTAAACTTTTGTAATCCTTTGAACGACCAAAGGTGGGAAAAACTAACAAACTTTTGGGAGTTTGACAGAAAACTGTTTCTAACAGATGAAGGGAATTACCAGGATGTACTTGATCAGTGGACAGAATTGGCGCAATGGTTTATGATTTAGTCTCTGTGAGTTAGTGTGGGTCAGTCTTTGCAGGCCAAGCCTCCTAGAAGAATGTGCAAGATGGGCTTTCTGGTCTACCTGCCTGAATCCAGAGCCCTGACCTTGGGATCCCACTGAAGGTCAGCAGGTGTCCATAGATTGAATTGCGTCCCCCAAAAATGTGTGTCAACTTGGCTATGCCATGATTCCCAATATTGTGATTGTCCACCATTTTGTCATCTGACGTGATTTTCCTATGTGTTGTAAATCCTACCTCCACGATGTTAAGGAGACAGGATTAGAGGCAGTTATGTTAATGAAGCAGGACTCAATCTATAAGATTAGGTTGTGTCTTAAGCCAATCTCTTTCGAGATATAAAAGAGAGAAGGAAGCAGAGAGACAGGAGGACCTCATACCACCAAACAAGAAGAGCCAGGAGCACAGTGCATCTTTTGGACCCGGGGTCCCTGCACTGAGAAGTTCCTAAATCAGGGGAAGATTGATGACAAACACCTTCCCCCAGAGCCAACAGAGAGAGAAAGCCTTCCCCCAGAGCTGGTACCCTGAATTTGGACTTCTAGCCTCCTAGACTGTGAGAGAATAAATTTCTCTTTGTTAAAGCCATCTGCTTGTGGTATTTGTTATAGCAGCACTAGATGACTAAGACAGCAGGAGACAGGAAACCATGCCCGCAGCTGGGAGACAAGGAAGTGGTACAGCAGGGAGACAAGAAGATGGTACAGCTGGGAGACAAGGAGGTTGTACAGTTGGGAGACAAGGAGACGGTACAGATGGGAGACAAGGAGGTGGTACAGCTGGGAGACAAGGAGGTGGTACAGCTGGGAGACAAGGAGACGGTACACCTGGGAGACGAGGAGGTGGTACAGTTGGGAG